CCCCAAAACCCCAAAACCCCAAAACCCCAAAACCCCTTAAAATTATATATTTTTGAACCTACATTCATATAATCCAAACACAAATGTTGAAGAAATTCATAAAGAATAGCGTGACTCCAAAAAGTAGGAACGCTGAGCCTCTCGAAAAATCAAATACTGAGAAACCACCCAAGTACAATTTAGGAATGACACAGAAGTTGAACACAGATTTGGCAAATAAGTTAAAACTTGGTAAGTAAATTTAGCACTTTTGATTAACTATCTTACCCATTCAAAAGCAAGATTTTAGAAAATACCCTAATGTGTATAGTCGATAAAGACTCTTTTGTGTCTCCAGGATCAAGTAGGAATAATCCTATCCATATCGAGAGGAATGCTACCTTTCAGAGGGCTCCTCTGACAAATCCTTCAGCTAACCTTATTTACGACCTTAAGGTCGAGAACAAAAAGCTGAGGGAGCAAAATGAGTCACTTCAAGAGAGGCTCTCTGACATGTTCCAAACCTTGCAGATGAATAAACAAATGCTAAAAGATGTGATCGATAAATCCAACATCGATATTAAATAATAAAACTGACCAGTTCATAAAGGAATGTGAACAGAAGGATAAGGTACGAACTCTGTTAAACTCTAGGTAATAGAAGACCTCAGAACCAACTTTATTGATCACATGAATGCACTTGTATTTATCTGTACAAGATGAGGGCATAAACAATATAAAACTGAAATGGGGAAAACCGGGCTTGATAAAACCAGGTTCCAGACCAACACTAATTTTGAGGACTCTAAAGGTGCGATTAGCAGTGTTCATGGGTCCCAAGGAGCTCAGAACCATTTTGAAACCTTCCTAAACTGGACTGCAAGTGGTAAGGCCCCGAAAGAGGTAACTGTAAGCAAAGCAAATGATGAAATTAAGGAAAATCAGGAGGGAGAAGTTTCAGGTATTTCATCATGTGATTTTCTAGAGGATAATTCCCCCAAAACTTTTAGGATGGTCGTTTCAGATACCCCAGAAGGCTATGGCAATGATAAAAGTACTCCTATCGAGGATATCTGCAACGGCTCTGTGGTCATAAAAGACGTCACTCCTTCTAAGCTAGAGTTTAAGTCAGATTTAGAAGAAGAAGGTATCAGGATTAAAACTGATTTTTATAGTTTATGAATCATCACAAAGATACACTAACGAAGAGAATTATTTTGAGTTTGATCCGAATATGCTTTATACTCATTCACCTCTAGAAAAGGACAGTATCGCTCAAGACCTCGAGAAGAAGGAAAGCGGCCAAAAGAATCTTAACGTGTCAGATTTTGAGGACTACTAGTTTAAAAATTCCTATTTATGTCTGAGCCAAGCGAATGAATTTGCAATTCGGGAGGCAAAGAAGGGGTTTTGGGGTTTTGGGGTTTTGGGG